TATTAATGTGCCAGTAATAGACTGTATACACTGATACACGCTTTAATATTAGAGGTTTTATAGTACCTTTTTTGGGGGGAGGGGGGTGAGGCTGGGAATTGAAGCATACTAGGTAAGCACTCTACCACTGAGCTATATCTCTAGCCCATAGTACTTAAATGTCTGATGGTCATAATTTTTCCTTATCAGTATTTTCTTTCTGGGAAAGAAAAAGGGATTGAACCCAGGGGTACTTTATCATCCCCAGTCATATTTTAAAATTTTTGTTTTGAGTCAGGGTCCTACTAAATTGACTGGGGCTGGCCTTGAATCTTCCTGTCTCTGCCTCCTGAGTGAGTCTCAGGGATTATAGGCATGTGCCACCACATGTAGCTCAATGTTTTCTTAACTGTTTTTGTATATATTTGTTTTTCCATATGAACCTTACTATCTGGTGTGACTACATAAAATGGCATGTTGACATTTTGATAGGGATTGAATTATTGCATTGACTTTTTAAAAATTAATTTAGGCATAACTGACACCTGTATAGCATTGAATTATCCTGAACATCATCAGAGGATACCTTTCCATTGTTCAAACCTACTTTAGTGTTTTGGTCTAATGCTTAAAATTTTTTTGTATAGCTTTGCACATTTAAAATTTTAAAAATTTTTCTTATATAGCTTTGTACATTTCTTGTGTTGTAAATTTTAATTTTCCTTGTTGTTTTATATGTGATCTTCTGTATAATTGTTGCCTTTAATAGTTTAACATTTATATATATATAAAAGCTATTCATATGTTAATTTTATATTCAGTTACTTCCCTGAATTCTTTTATTGTGTATTTTATTATGAGTATTTATTGGATTTAGTTATTTTTTCTACATATATCAAAGTATTAATATAATTTCTTCAAGGTGTTTGAGATATTTTTTATAAAATTGTGTGTGTGTGTGTGTGTAACTACTTATAAAATAAGTAACTTTTCTTATGTTGAACTAACCTTGCATTTTTAGAGTATACCCATCCTGGCCATAACCTGAGTTTATCATGATCTTTTTCATGTTTTACTGAATTATATTAGATAAATTTCATTTGGCATTGTTACATTTGTGTTGGTAAGTAGTTTTGATATCATGTTTATAGTACCTGCTATGAAAAAATTAATGAACAATTAGAATCATCTACTTCTTCAGTATTGGTAGAACTTGCCTATAAGTCTGGCTGGGTCTACTCTTTTGTTTGTGGGAAATTTTCTTATTACTAATTGAACTTGTTTAATGATTATAGGACCATTTAAAATTTCTATCTTCCCCCTCCCTCCCTCCCTCCCTTCCTTCCTTCCTCCCTCCCTCCCTTCCTTCCTTCCTTCCTTCTGTATTAGAGATTGAAGCCAGGGATGCTTTACCACTTAGCTACACCCCAGCCCCAACCCCTTTTATTTTTTATTTTGAGACAGGGTTTCACTAAGTTGCTTAGGCTAGCCTCAAATTTACGATCCTCTTGGCTCAGCCTCCTAAGTAGCTGGGGTTACAGGCATACGCCACCACACTTGGTCTCTATTTCTTCTTGAGCTAATTTTTTTTTTTTGGGTTGTAGATGGACACAATACCTTTATTTTGTTTATATATTTATTTTTTTATGTGGTGCCAGGATCGAACCCAGTACCTCACACATGCTTGGCAAGCGCTCTACCACTGAACCACAACCCTGGCCCATTGAGTTAATTTTTTCCCTAATTTTTATCTAATTTTAATCTTTTCAAAAATATTCTTCAATTATCATTTTGCTACATTATCGATAGATAAAATTCCCTTTCCTTCTTCTCCTCTTTTCTTCCCTCCCTCCCTGAATTATTTTCAGGGAAGCTAAAAACAAAAAACATCTACCCTAATTCAGCAAGTAACTCTTAAAAGAGTAGGGTATTCTCAGGGGCTGCGGATATAGCTCAGTTGGTGGAGTGCTTGCCTCTTATACTTAAGACCCTGGGTTCAATCCCCAGCACCACACAACAATAACAACAAGAATAGGGTATTCTCTACATGACCACAATACTATTGTCACCTTCAAGAAGCTTAACCTTGATAAAATAACATCATCTAACATATGCTTTCCAAATGCAAATTCTTTAATTTACACATATGACCTTTATAGGATTTGAGGGGAAGGAATGGGGTTCAAGATTTAATCAAGGGTCTTGTATTACATTTTGTTATCATCTTTGATCTTCACCTGCCCCCTTCCTGTGATGCAGGGAATGAAACCCAGGACCTCCAGCATGCTAGGCAATTGTTCTATCACTGAGTTATATCCTTATCCCTACATTGCCATTTGGATTGAATCTTTTATATTTTTCCATGAAATGTTTCCATTTCACCTCCATTTTTAAACATGTTGGTGTAAGGTTTTGTTTGCAGCACTAGGGATTGAAGCCAGGGGTGCTTTACTACTGCCTTTTGTGTTTCTTATTTTGAGACAGTGTTTCCCTAAGTTGCCCAGGTTATTCTCCAACTTGCATACTCCTTCCTCTGCCTCCTGAGTAGCTTTATGTCACTGCTTCTGGCTGGCATAAGTTTTTTTTTTTTGTATTTTATTTTTGGCCCTGATATATCTATAATTATGTGCCCTTTTACATTTCTAATACTATTTGTTTATTCTTCTCTCTTTCTTTTTATATCAGACTTATGAGAGTCACATCAATCACAAGTCATTTCTAAGAACTAGCTTTGTTGATTCCTCATAACTGTTTTCTGTTTAACCCAATTCTGATCTTACCTTTAAAATGTCTTTTCTTTAAGGGTTTATTCTGTTGGTATAATATCTTAAAATTGGTATTTAATGTATTTTCAGTCTTTCTTCTATTCCAGAATAAATTTTTAAAAAATATTTATTTTTTAGTTGTAGTTGCACACAATATGTATATTTATTATTTTTTTTTTTAATGTGGTGCTGAGGATCAAACCCAGGACCTCGCATGTGCTAGGCAAGTACTCTACCACTGAGCCACAACTCTAGCCCCTTATTCCAGAATAAATTTTTAAAGCTTTACTTTTTCCTCAGCGTACGATTTTATCTTCGTTACAAAATTGTCATGTATTTTCTTAACTTTTATGTACTTATTAATAGTTTTTTTTATATCCATGTTTTATTTATTTATTTGTTTGTTTGCTTATTTATTTATTTTATTTGGTGCTGAGGATCAAACTCAGTGCTTCACGCATGCGAGGCAAGTGCTCAACCACTGGGCTACAACCCCAGCCCCATCCATGAATACAAATGTATTATTAGGTTCATACAAGTTTAGAATTGCTACATTTTTCTGGTGAATTGACCTTTTATTATTATAGGCCATCTTTATCTCTGTAATACATTTTTGCATTAAAGTCTATTTTATCTGATAATAGAATAGATATCCTAGTTTCCTTTTTGGTTACTGTTTACCTAATATATCTCTTTCAGTCCTTTAGTTTTGAACTCTTCTGTCTTATATTTTAAGGTCTCTGTCTTATAAACAGTATGTAGCAGTATAACTGATTTCTTTCCTTTACGATATGATTTTCCTTACAGTTTGGTCCATTTGAATTGATTGATGTTTGAATTCATTTCTATTTTGTGCTTTCTTTTCCCATTTTTTTTATTTATGTTTCTTCTTTTTCTTTTTATGGGGGGGTGGGTGGGGGAGAATTGTAGTGAAGGGAAAAAATACAGAAAATAGTACAAAGCCATATGCCTACTACCCAGAGTAAACAAATATTAAATTTTTTACCTTTTTTGGGGGGTGGGTAACAGAGATTAAGCCCAGAGGCATTTAACCACTGAGCTACATCCCCAACCTTTTTTATTTTTTTATTTTGAGACAGGGTCTTGCTAAGTTACCTAGGTCCTTACTGAGTTGCTGATGCTGGCTTTGAACTTGTGGTCCTGCTGCCTCAGCCTTCTGAGTTGCTGGAATAGCAGGTGTGCACCACTGCACTTAACTCATAATTGCTTTTGACAAATTTAATAAAATATTATAAGATAAAGTCATGTTTTCCTTTCTCCTTTCTGGGAGGCTAATGCTAAATGACTTTGGTATATGTCCTTCTATTATATGGTATATGTCCTTCTATTAAACTTTTATAGATAATGTTCCTGTATATCTAAAAATAATACATAGTATTGTTTAGTATAATCTCAAAATAGTTATGTTTTCATTTTACAAGCATTGTTTGGTGACTTTCTGTGATAATTAACCTCCTGTTTTTAAGATTTGTCTATGTTGACATATATAGATGTGGCTTTTTCATTAAACCTGCTAAATAATGTATCATATGCCATTTTATCACTATTTATTTGTTCATTGAAGGACTCCTGGTGCAGTGAATATTCTTTCATTTATATCTTTTGCAACATATTTTCAGGATGCATACCTAGAATGGTGTTATTAGGTCCCAGGTCAGAGGATGCACACTTAATTCCTTTTTATAATAATAATTATTAATAATAACTAAAAATATAATAATAAACAATATATTTTTATGTATTAGAGATTGAACCCAGAGGTGCTTTACCACTGAGCCATCCTCAGTTCCTTTTATATTTATTTATTTATTGAGTTAGGGCTTTGCTAAGTTGCTGAAACTGGCCTTGAACTTGTGATCCTCCTGCCTCAGCCTCTCAAATTGCTGGGGTTACAGATGTGTCAACACCTTTTTTTTTTTTTAAAGAATTTTTTTTCTTTGTTTTTTAGTTGTTGTTGGACACAATACCTTTATTTTATTTATTTATTTTATGTGGTGCTGAGGATCGAACCCAGGGCCTCACACACGCTAGGCGAACGCTCTACCGCTGAGCCACAACCCCAGCCCTCAACACTTTTTTAAATGTATATGTCTTTCTTGTTTAATTAAAGACCCAGTAAAATTGTAAACCTGTTCGTCATGGCATGGTTTTGCAGAAGGGATCTTTAGGTTTAGGCTGGTAGCTTCTTCTCTTTTCTTGGCATTCCTAAATGTCCTGTTCTGCCCTTTCTCCTAGCGGCAGTACATACCTGTGAAAGTGAAGAGCAAAGCCTTCTGGATCTTCTCTTGGGAGTATGCCATGATGTATGTGGGAAGCCTAGTGGTAATCGTTTGCCTCTCCTTCTTCCTTCTCAGCTCCTGGGATTTCATCCCTGCTGTCTATGGCTTCATGTAAGTAAAGACCATATTAGAAAATTCAGTAGGTTAGTTTTATTTTCATAGCTCCTCCTGAAATCAGACTGAGGCAATATCTATAGCAGGTGTCCTCAAACTTTAAGGTGCCTCAGAGTCTCTGCAGGGCTTGTTTAACCCAGATTGCTGGCCCAGTCCCAGAGGTCCTGATTTAGTAGGTCTCAGGTAGGGACCGAGAATTTGCATTTCCCAAGTTTTCAGGTGACGTTGCTACTGATAATCCAGGAACATATTTTGAGAACCACTGCTGTAGAGCACATCTTTTTTTTTTGAGAGAGAGAGAGAGAATTTTTAATATTTATTTTTTAGTTTTCAGCGGACACAACATCTTTTTTTTTTTTTTTTTTTGTATGTGGTGCTGAGGATTGAACCCGGGCCACACGCATGCCAGGAGAGCATGCTACTGCTTGAGCCACATCCCCAGCCCCTAGAGCACATCTTTTTTCTGATGGGATTAAAGAACACTCCCTAAAAACATCCACAGCAATTGTTAGCCTCTAACTGGGAGGTTTGGGTTCAAGCAAGATTGGATATATTCTTCTACTGCCAGAAGATCCATGATAGTTTCAGCATAAAGCTACCTGCTATGTGTGAGACCTTTAGAGGAAACCCAGATGGGTTTGCAGTACTGCAGGCTTGCTCAAGTGTGTTTTCATGAAAATGCCCTCTGTGTGAGTGCTGAGGGGCCAGGCACTGCTCAAGCCTTTAAGAGCTCATAGTCTAGTGGGTGAGGGACACTTAAATCTGTTTGGATTGGGAAGGGATCTGGAGTGGTAGAACTTCCATTTGGGACTCTCCTTCTTTTGTTAAATCCTGACTGAGCATAACAATGACTTATTCACTTTTAGCGCTTCCTTGGATGGGAGTTCAGGATGCCTGGTGAAGAGCTTTTCCTGGCTTTCTGCTAGGTCACAGATTCTGTTTTGTTCTTTTAGAAAATTTTTTATTCAGGCAAATGTTGTGCTTATCAGGGCAAATAGTTATCTATACACAGTGATAGGGTGCTCACAAGGATTAAAAGACTATCAGGGCAACAGATAGCTCATTAAGGCTTCTGTCAAGCCCCTTGCATCTTTGTGTCTACCAGTACAAAACTGTGTCACAAATTTTGCCCAGTTAAAACTGGTGAGTTTTTTTTTTTTTAATTTAAGTAGGTGTATATGACAGCAGAATGCATTTTGAATGATTGCACACAATTACAGCACAACTTTTCATTTCTCTGGTTGCACACAATGTAGCATCACACCATATATGCAGTCATACATGTACATAGGCTAATGATGTCCATCACATTCCACCATCTTTTCTGCTCACATATCCCCTCCCTTCCTCTCTGCCCTTGTTCTTTACTTCATTTCACAGAGACGGAAATATAGTTGCCACAAGAGGCAAAGTCTTACCCTGGGTAGAGGCTTCTGTCAGGGAAGCCTGTCTCTCTCTTTCTGGTCCCCATTTGTTTCCTTTCTAAATTGTGAATTGAGATCACTTTCAACTCTGTTTTTTTTTTTTTTTAAGAGAGAGTGGGGGAGAGAGAGAGAGAGAGAGAATTTTTTAATATTTATTTTTTAGTTCTCGGCGGACACAACATCTTTGTTTGTATGTGGTGCTGAGGATCAAACCCTGGCCGCACGCATGCCAGGCGAGCGCGCTACCGCTTGAGCCACATCCCCAGCCCTACTTTTTTTTTTTTTTTTTAACATTTAGTTTTTAGTTATAGGTGGACACAATATCTTTATTTCATTTTTATGTGGTGCTGAGGATCGAACCCAGTGCCTCTGACATGCTAGGCGAGCACGCTACCACTGAGCCACAACCCCAGCCCCTCAACTCTGTTATTTTTCAAAATAAAAATATAATGAGCTGTGGTTAATGTCTGTAATCCCAGAGACTTGGGAGGATGAAGCAATAGGATCTCAAGTTTGAGGCCAGCCTCAGCAGTTTAGCAAGACCCTGTGTCAAAAAAGTAAAAAGGTGTGTGTGTGTATAAATTGTAAACTTTCAGAAAAGTTAGAATTTCAACAAATTTTTATATGATTTAACCAGATAAAAATATCTTCTAGTTAAACCTTAATTTCTCAAATGAGCTCTTGGACACTGAGTATTCTAGCAGAGCCTGATGATGGTTCCTGGAGCCCCTAGAATTCTCACTGCAGGTCCAGGCACTGAGTCTTCAGGTTCCTGCTGTGGGAATGTAGAACAAGAATGGGGAGCAGCAGGACCTTTGAACTTCTTCCTTTGGGCAGGTCTTTGGAATGCCCAAAATAGATATTGTTTATTTAAATCTCCTTCCTCCTTGTTACGTACTGGGAAGCTCCTGACTAAATGGACCTGAGCAGTAAAAGAGGGGCTGCTTTCTTGATTTCTAGGATAAATCCCTGCCTCATTTTAGATTTTGTTTTGCTAAACTAATATTTATTATGGCTTATCATTCAGTGTGTCTCTGGCCCTTGTTTTTGTTAATCACCTATATCGGGGAACCTACAGAACCATCACACCCTGTTCTCTACAAGGAGGAAGTTGTCCTTGGCTGGCTAGCAGTGACCCAAGTCTTCAGGAGGAAACAAGGGCACAGCAGACCATGTGTAACTCTGCTCTCTTTTTTCTCTCCCTGTGTTTTCTTAATTCCAGACTTTCTGTTCCAGATCTCACTCCAAACATTGGTCTTTTCTGGTACTTCTTTGCAGAGATGTTTGAGCACTTCAGCCTCTTCTTTGTCTGCGTGTTTCAGATCAACGTCTTCTTCTACACTGTCCCCTTAGCCATCAAGCTAAAGTAAGTGGGGGGACCTGCTGCTTCTTTATTCCCCTCCTTCTCCCCCCATGGCCTCATGGGTACCCTTCATATAAGGAGCCCCTGCCATCAGGTTGATGTCATCTTTGCTCAGGGAACCCTGTCCTTGGTCTCTTCATGTGCCAGTGGCCAGAGCCAGCAGTTGCGTATCATGCATGAGCACAGGCTGCAGGGAGGGCTTTGGAGCCCTGGATGTTCCCTGGACTCACTTTGAGGTGCCTGCACCCACATTGCTGCTGAACCTATTCACCATTTTGGACATCAGGAGTTGTGTTAAGGGGGTTTCTTTGGGAAAAGTGGTTCTGTTTGGATATCCTCCATTAACTGCCCAGTGACTGTCCATGGGGACTCAGGATGGATTCCTTAGGAGGCTAACCGCCTGAGCTCTCTTTAATCTTCTGATTTATATCCCTCAGAAGGGTTTGTCTGCAGTGTAAGAGGACTAATCTATTTGAGCTCTCCCCATCCCAGGCGCCTTTCTAGGCTCTCTGAAACATAGTCATACCTAACTCAGCAACTCGAGGAGATAGCGTGATCTTATTATTGTCACTCCTATTTTATAGTTGGGGAAATTGATGCTCAGAAAGGTGGAATGGTTTTCCCAGAATCACACAGCTAGTAAGCAGTGGAACTAGAATTCCAGTTTATCTGGCTCCAGAATCTGTGCTCATGCCCTGGCACTTTTCTAAGCTTCTGAGGAAGAGCACTGCAGTAGCCCTGGAAATGGTTTATTATCCTGGCTTCCAAGAAGCTGACCTCAAGCATACAGGGTCTGTGCAAAAATGGCCACATGTGTGCATGTAGGTATTGCTGAGGAGGATTTCCACCTGGCTCTTCTGTTCACTTCCCTTCAGCTCTTAGACTGCTCTTGAGGAGCACTGGAAGTTGAACTCTGTCCCTACCTCCTGACCAGGGCTGTGAGGCATCAGAAGCACTAAGAACAGCATGGTGGTGGTTAGAAGCTCTGGAGACAGCTTCATCACTTACTGATATTTGGTCAACCACTTCACTTCTCTGAACCTCAATTTCCTCATCTGTGAAGGCCAATGGACAGGACTGCCTATCTTGAGGGGTGGTTGTAGTTTGTGAGGGTCACTTGAGGTGATGCAGAAGACTTGAGCACATAGTGCGGATTTCAGGAGATGGTAACCATTGTCATCCCTTATTACTAGTTTGAAATCACAGTTTAAACTGTTATTAGTTTAAGGTAACAAGAACTCCAGTTTCAGCCCTTCAGAGCTGTTGAAAAACTGCATCTAGCTTTCAGTTATCTTTCTGGACACTGAGGCTCTACTGACCTCACTGACCATATTGTCATTGAACAGAGCATTATCTTGGAGGCCTTTCTTGCCCTGGGGCCTGTTGTCACAGCAGCCTCTGGCAAGGGAGGGTGCCTGATGACCCTGACAAGCAGTCATTTAAGCCTGCTAATAAGGAGCTGACTTCATTTGTTTTCATCCTCCTTGGCTTCTGGGAGAAGGCCTGGAGCTGGTAGAGGCAGTGGTGGCTATTGTTGGGAAATGTCTCTGTGGACTAGTTCTTAATGTTTGCCAGGCCTTCCTCACCACCTCTGGGCATTTTTGGGTCCCTGTAGTTTTCTGCTGTGCTACCCGGGTCTGGCCCATTCAATCCAGCCCCTGCCCAGAGTCTTCTGGGAGCATTTTTGGTTCAAGGGGTGGGTCTAGGGTCTCTGGGATAAACTTGGTCCCTGGCTGATCTCTGTCCTCTCCATCCTGCCCTAGGGAGCACCCTATCTTCTTCATGTTTATCCAGATTGCCATCATCTCCATCTTCAAGTCCTACCCAACTGTGGGGGACGTGGCGCTCTACATGGCCTTCTTTCCTGTGTGGAACCACCTCTACAGATGTGAGTACTCCTACTGACTCCAATCTGCTGGTGGCAGATTTGTGTCATTCTAGCTCCTGGATGAAATGCCAGGGAGAGAGGAATTGATAGGCATTTACTGGGCCCCTTGCTGGTGCAGACAGCACTGGGAGAGAGGTTACAGCCTCAGGCAACCCTGGCACCCTATACCATGATCAGAGATGTTAATAAACATAACCACCATTTGTAGAGCTCTTATTGAGAACCTAGCCACTGTGACTCTAAAAGAGTGTTACATCCATAAGCTCATTATATCTTCACACCAGCCTTTGAGGTAAGTATCCCCATTTTGCTGATGAGAAAATTGAGGTACAGAATAGTAGAGGCACTTGTGTGAGATCACATGATTACTAAGTGGAAAAGCTGGGACTAGAATCCAGAGTCCCTGCCCAATGTTGTCCTATAGGACTTTAATTTACATTCAAATTTAAGAAGCCACATGTGACTAGGTTGCCATATTGGATAGTGTAATTCTGGCCTCAAGTTCTAAACCATTATCCAGTGCTGCATCCAGAGATTCCTAGAAAGCTGCTGGATGACACCAGATTTTCTGCCTCCTGTGAAGACCCTTCTCAATTCTTTACTCCTCCCCTTCTCAGAAGATGGCTCAGTGGTGACCTGTGTGTGTTCCCGAGGCCTGCAGTGCTGTAATGCTCCAGTGCTCCCCTCAGTTGGGCTCTTCACCCTCTCTTTTCAATGTTTGGGAGCTCCCTTAGGGCAGATGCCTCTCTGTCTCCAGCACCCAGGAGGAAACCTGATACAGAGAAGTATTGGCAAATGTGTATGGAGAGGGCTTTTTAAGCCTCCCTAAGGAGGTGGTATCAGTTACCCTCCTGATTCTCTATAGTAAAACTGGGAAGGGAGCCCTTGAACTTTCCTTACCCTCTGTGGGTGCACAACAGAATGTCAGGAATGAACTTGGGTGCAGGCTTCAAAGGAAGTGAGTTTCCTTGTTGTTTTGATTTGTCTGGGTGTCAACCAGGAAGTGAAACTGACCAGCTGCCAGTAGGAGTGAGGTAAACAGCTGAGTGGGCGGGCTAAGCCTGCAGGTGAGGGCCTGCTGGGGTTGTGACCACTCTGGGCTGACTGGGAACAGGAAGCAGCATCTTCTGCCTGTGACATCCTCATTGCACAGATAAGAATCACCTAGTCCAGCAAGCTTAGAATTAGTTTGGGGCCCTTTGACAGAGTGGCCGGTGACAAATCACAAGGCCACCAAAACATAGGGACATGCCCCATCTATAACAGGGTAGATCTTGGGGACATGGTCGTCTTTCCCCAAAAGTAGATCATTTTCTTTAGCTGCCTGTCCCACAGAGATAGTGTCTTCAATACCACATTGCTGAACTCGTCTGTGGATAGATGACTTGAGTCTACATCCTGGCTTTCCCATTACTGGCTATGTGTTTTCATGTAAATCATTTAACCTTTCTGAACTAATTTTTTTCCTCCATCAAATATGGACAGTATCTTTCAGAGGTGTTTTAAGTTTTGAGAAAGAAAATGTTAATAGAACTGCAGTTACCAACATCAGTGATAATCATATAGGACACACACACACCCCGCCACATTCCCTTATTAGAGCTTCAGGCTTGGTAGCCAGAGACATTGAAATAAACCTGTTTTTTCAAAACTTGAAATAAGCTGTTTTATGCCTTCTGGGATGATGAGGCATAAAGAAGAAAGATGGGATTTCCAAAACCTGAATGATTTAATAGATGCTGTTGCTGGCTGGTTGGGTAAGGAGTTTACAGGCTCAGCTTGTCCAAGGCTTCTACAGAAAACAGTGACCCCCACATTTCACTCACTGCACCTGCAGCAGGGAGTACTCATGTTTGGAGTACCTGTTTGGGACTTGAAACCATGACTCATTATACTCATCCACGAATGTCTTCAGCCCTGGGCTAAAGGACCTCTGACCTCTGAGTAGAGACTGAGAAATTTTAAGGCCTAAATCAATGTATTTAATGTTGTTGGGAATCTAATTTAAATACTGGTTGCCAGTGCTAACATGTCTGCCCCCAAATCACATCACTGCGCAGTGGAGAAGAGAGGATCAGAGCCCTATCCTGAGTGAAGGGCTCTGGATGCTGGCCTCTGTGGAGCCTGGGGCCAGGATGAGTCAGGCAGATGCACACTTGCAGTGTTAGGGAGCAGCCTGCTGGTGGAGCCGATGTCAGCCTGCAGTGGTCCAGCTGAAGAGCCACCTACCAGAGGGCTGGAGTTGACTGCATGTGTTTGTCTTGTTTTTATTAACTATTAGACTGAGATGAACTAATATTGATAAATACAAATTATAAAGAGTAGTTACATAGTAAGTTCATGTGCCTAACCTAGCACATGTTAAGAAAGGAGCATCACCTTGACCTTTGAAGCCCCTTAATCCCCTTGTGACCCTCCTAATGGGACTGAATTTTTGAAGCGAAATTTTGTTTCTGAATGCCTGAGGCTCAAAGAGAGAAAGTGACTTGCCAGAAGTTCAAGTTCACCAGTAGTGGTGCCAGAGATTGGATAAGCTGCCTGTGAATGCAGTGGGGAACCTGACTCCATCTGGCCAAGCAGGTCTGATGAAGGGTGAGCCCTTTCATCTTGTTAGGTCCTGGTCATCTCTGACGCCTCCTGGTGCCTGGAACAAGCTGTCCTGTGCCTCAGGTCCCCAGTTCCATCTGCTCTGGCATATAGCTTTAATCTTCTGGCCTGGCAGCTAGCAAGAATGAGTAGCAGCTCCCTGTTCCTGCAAAGGTCACCACAGGCCAGAAGCCAACTGGGTGCTGGTAACAGTCCTCCAAGCACATGGAAATGTCTCTGTGCAGCCCAGAAGCTGCATATGAGCCTTTCTCATCTGTGTGCTCAGTCTCCTTCCCATCTGAAACCTCAGGTTTTGGCTGGAGGCATAGGACCAAGGACCACCTGGGCTGTCAGTCCCCAAGAATTTTATTTGAGAATAATGTATATTCTTTTCCTTTATTTATTTTTATGTGGTGCTGAGGATGGAACCCAGGGCGCACACATGCTAGGTGAGCGCTCTACCGCTCAGCTACAACCCCAGCCCCATGTATGTTCTTTTCAGTAAGATAATTTTAGGGGATAAGAAAGAAAATTAGGATGGTGGAGTACAGGAGGGGAGGCTGATTTGTTCTCCTTTCTTGAGGTTATAAAATTGCTTAATAATAATAATGCTCAGTACAAACATCCCTTTTCTCTGGTTCCACACTCCTTAGAGTAGATGCGGCAGAGGCTGCCCTGGGAGATCTCAGGAGGCCTGAGTCAGGACATTGGCCTCTCAGCTTTGACAACCCCAAATCATGGAAATTTCAGGTTAGGAAAGAGTACCTTGCAGGCCCTCCAGGCCAGTGTCCACTTTGTGGGATTTCAGACCACCAACATTTCAAAAAACTGGTGACCAGAGTTGCTAACTTTTATTTTTCTGAAGGCATTAAAATAATCAACTACCAGCTATTTTCCCCCATTTCATAGAAGAAAGAACTTTTTAAAATCAAGAACAAAATGGCTCTTATTGTTTCCGATAAAGAATGAACTATATGTTAACAACATTTGGCTTTAGAAAGAATTTTAAACTACATATATCCCCTACTATATTCCCCCTTCCATTGATCAGTGGCATCTCTGTGGCAGACTCCTGACAAGGGTCTCATACTTGGCTGTGTATTGAAATCAGCTGGGAAGCCTATGAAATTTCCTGTGGATGCCTGGGCCCCACTTTACAGACTCCCAATTTCATCTTGGTGTGGTTCCCCTGAAATTTCATTTTTCATCTTGAATTGCTTCTCATCTGTATTATTCCAACCCCTTCTAATACACAAGCTCTGGTACAGCATCTCTACCCAGTTATTGTACAACTGAGACAAGCAGCCTAACCTTTTGGGAGTTTCCCCATACCTTGAATCTCCTAAAACTCTGACTTGGAGAAGGGATTTTCTGCAGATTAGAATCAGAAAGGAGATAGGAACTGAGATGGGAGCTTTTTGGTTCAAGGGGTGGGTCTTTGGGATATATTTGGCTGATCTCTTATCTTCTCCACCCTGCCCTAGGGAGTGCCCTATCTTCTTCATGTTCATTAAGTGCCTGTTAGGAATCAGGCCCAGTTCAGAGTTCTTTCTAAAAAAACATTCTTTTAATTAGTTTATTTTAAAGAATATTTACTAGTTGTTTTTTTTTTTTTTTAATACAATAAAGTAGCTGGGCGTGGTGGCACACATCTGTAATCCTGGCAGCTCAGGAAGCTTACACAGGAGGATTGCAAGTTCAAAGCCAGCCTCAGCAATTTAGTGAGGCCCTAAGAACTCAGTGAGACCTTGTCTCTAAATAAAATACAAGGGGCTGTGGTTGTGGCTCAGTGGTAGATCACTTTTCTGGCATGCATGAGGCCCTGGGTTCGATCCTCAGCAGTGCATATCAATAAATAAATAAAATAAAGGATCCATTTACAACTAAAAAATTTTTTTTAAATAAATAAAATACAAAATAGAGCTAGGGATGTAGCTCAATGGTCAAGCAACCCTGAATTCAATCCCCAGTACCCCCCCCCCAAAAAAAATACACACACACACACACACATACATACACACGCACACACACACAATAAGGTATAAAGAGAAATAATAATATATAATGCTACTGTTGGATACTCCCTATTGAATTAAAGGAAAAAAAGGATACCATGTGTGGGCAGAAAAATTCCCCTCCTTATCACTCCCAAAGAGATCCACATCATAATTTCTAGAACATATGAATAAGTTACCTTGAATAGTCAAAAAGGGACTTTACTTTTTTTTATTTTTTAAAAATATTTATTTATTTATTTATTTTAGTTCTCGGCGGACACAACATCTTTGTTTGTATGTGGTGCTGAGGATCGAACCCGGGCCGCACGCATGCCAGGCGAGCGCGCTACTGCTTGAGCCACATCCCCAGCCCAAAAAGGGACTTTAAATTAAGAACCTTAAAGGAATATTATCTGGTGGGCCCAGTATTATCATAAGAATCCCCAAAAGTAGAAGAGCTATGTGGTGGCCAGGCAATATGGGAAATTTCTCTTCTACTCAGTTTTGTTATGAACCTAAAATGGCTCTGTGGCTCTAAAAAGTAAAGTTTGTTTGAAAAACAACAGAAGCTGGGCGTAGTGGCGCACACCTGTAATCCCAGTAGCTTGGTAGGCTGAGACAGGAGGATCTTGAGTTCAAAGCCAGCCTCAGCAATTCAGTGAGACCCTGTCTCTAAATAAAATACAAAAAATGGCTAAGGATGTGGCTCAGTGGTTAAATGCCCCTGGGTTCCATCCCCAGTGCCAAAACAACAATAGTGGAAGAGGAGGTCAGAGTGACACACTGTGAAAAAGCCTCAGTCTACCATTGCTGGTTCTGAAGCTGCAAGGAGGTTGTGAGCCAGGGACTAAAGGAAAAGGCAAGCCAGGTGGGTTCTCTCTCAGGTCCTCCAGAGGGAACAGAGCCCTGCCCAAACCTTGATTGCAGCCTGTGAGCCCATCCTGGATTTCTAACTTCCAGAACTGTATGATAATAAGTTGTATTATTTGAACCACTATTATTTGTTATAGCAGGAATAAAAAACTGATATATACACCTGGGCCAGGTTTTTTACATATTTTATTTAATTCACAGAACATTCCCTATGAAGGAGGCATTTTAACCCTATTTTAGAGATCTACACGCTGAGGCTTAGAGAGACTTACTAATAAATGACTGCAGGATTTTAACCCAGGTCTCTCCAGAGGCCAAGTCTACCCAGCCACCTAGCTGGACTCTGCATGCCTGCTCAAGGACAACCCTGTGTAACAGACTAAGGGAGTGATCATTCAGAGATGGGGGGGCTTCAAAGGAAGATTTTTAAGTTATCATCTAAGGAAAAGGAAGGGACATTGGAAGAGCAATGCAGGAACCTGATTAAGGGGAAAGAAAAACCTGTTCCTAAGATGGCAGGCTGGTACCATGGGACCCATTCTGTGCTGTAATCTGCCTGGTTCGTGCTGTAGTTCACCCTCCATCCCATTATCCCACATGACCAGACAGCATCTGTGTGGGGTGAGGGGAGGTTGGACACTCTGAGGTTGGGACTGGAGGGCCAGAGTCTTCCTGGAATGGCTTCTCTGTAGAGCCCAGAGGCATTCATGGCATCGCTAACTGTAGCTGGTTTTCAGCCAGTCAATACCACAACGAGAAGAAGGACTCCAAATTTAGGAGCTCCTGCCAGCTGTGGGAGTGGGGAACCATTGATTCAGGGGCCTAAGGTTTGCCTTTTGGCCACCCCAGTGCCTTTGGTGGTGCTCTGCCTTTGAACCATGGAGCCTCCCTAGCCTCTGCCCTGTGGGATTACCCCAGTAAGAAGAAAGTGCTGGAGAGAGTGCTGGGCTAACTGTGACCATCTGTCTTTGCAGTCCTGCGGAATATTTTCGTGCTTGCCTGCATCATCATCGTCTGTTCCCTGCTCTTCCCCGTCCTGTGGCACCTCTGGATTTATGCAGGAAGTGCCAACTCTAATTTCTTTTATGCCATCACACTGACCTTCAACGTTGGTCAGGTAAGAATCAAAGACGGCATGGGATCAGGGTTTCATTTTGTAAACTCAGGCATTTGACCAAGGTCCTAGGTGTCCCATCCTAGGGATTTAAACATGAAGAAAGGATGGTTTTCTCCTCCAGTAGCTCACAGAGGGGAAGGGAAATGAAAGCAAAGTAACTCGGAATCTGGCACCCAGTTTCTGGGCACATGGAATCTTCACAGCAAGCCTGTGAAACAGCTAGTGATTTTTAGTGTACAAAAGAGGAGCTGAGGCTTTCTGAACATTGTCTGTTGCCCAAGGTCAGTGAAGGAGCCAAGAACCAAATTCAGGTACTTCTGAGGTACCTTCTTTCTGTAATGGTGCCTGGGTGGCCCCTGAAGTGGGTATATCAGGTTAGGCGGGGAGAAGCTTTCTGGTCTCTGAGGACAACAGGAGCAAAGGCAGGGGGCTGTGGAATGGGATGGCCAGGCTATTGGGCAAGTCTAGTGCAAGTTGTGTGGCTGAGTGTAGTGGGGAGGGGGCAGGAGCTCAGCCCTTCCTCTGTGTTCCCCAGGGAAACTTGTTGAAAATGCAGATTCCCTGGGCAGCCGCCACAGTTAAATGGCTCTGATTGTTCTTTTAAAAGAAAGCAAATTCTCTGGTTCCACTCCTAGAGGTGTTCATTCAGTTTAAGAAACAAAGGTCAGAGATTTGTATTTTTAGCAAATACAATTTTTACTCCCTTGAAGTCATCCACCCTTCCTGGGGTTTCCTGGTCCACTCTGCTGCCCTCTTTCAGGTCATTGTTGAGTTCTTAGGAGAATCAGTAGGATGGTGTACCATTTCAGTGCCATTGCCCTAGCCAAGCATTTTCTCTTCATAGTGGTCAGGATGGAGGCAGGGCTGGCTGGAAAGGCTGATGATGCAAGGGAGTTCTTGCCTCTAAGGTTAGCTATCAGAAGAGGAATGGGTGATGGGACTGGTGTTTCCTGCATGGACTTTTCTGGAGGATTTATGTCCAGCCCAACCACTTCTCTTGGTTTGTGAACAGTGGGAAAGAGATGGAGAAGTAAAGCCTGGGTGGCAGTTATTGGTGGTGAATAGGCAGCATCTTCTGTTTATGTCCCGCATATGCAGAAATCTGCAGGATTCAACTTCAGATCTAAAGGATCCTGAAGGCTGCCCTGGCTCTTCTGTCACTCTGGAATCCCCTGCTTTTCCCCATATTCTCATGGTTAGATATGAGGGTGCTGGGCCTACCCTGGGCCTCTGGAGAGTTGCTGAGTTCCACAGAAATAGTCCGCAGCCTGTTGGCTTGACTTGAGCCTCTAGTTTTAGTTAGGAAGTTCGGTTGCAGTGATTATGAAGCATCTGTGGAACTTTCCAGGTGACAACTTTCTCCCCTGTGGCTGTCTCTTCAGAGAAGGGTCTCTGAATGGTGAGGGGAATGTTTACAAGTGGTCAAATGCTATGGAAGGCTAGAGAAACTGAATTATTGGAAAAGAAGGATTGGGCTGTGCTGGAAACCAAAGGGCAGAAGCATTAAGTGCTTTAGTAGCTGAACTACCGAGAAAAACCAGCTGAATTCTTGGCATTGCTTCTTGTGTTTTTAAAAAATCTTTTTAAAATGCATTTTAAATCACATAAGCAATACTTCACACAAATAATAATTCATCATTGTTGGGGGGAAGAAGTCAAAAATAGTGGAATAATGTGGAATGAAAGGTAAAGATATGTGCTGAATGTGATCCAACTGGGCATGGTGGCACACATCTCTAATCCCAGTGACTGGGGAGACTGAGGCCTGAGGATGACAAGTTTGAGGCCAATTTCAGCAACTTAGCAAGACCCTGTCTTAAAATAAAAAGGGTGGAGGGTATAGCTCAATAGGCCTTAGGATTCATCCCCAGTACCACAAAAATAAAATAAAATGTAGTGAAGCACGGTAGTGCATGCCTGTAATCCCAGCAACTTGGGAGACTGAAGCAAGAGGATTGCAAGTTCAAGGCCAGCCTCAGCTAATTAGTGAGGCCCTATCTCAAAATAAAAAGGCTGAGAATAGAGCTCAGTGGTAAGGCACCTCCAGGTTCAATCCCAGTACAGAAAAAAGTAAAAATCCACAGTGGGTATGAGGCCCTGGGTTCCATCCCTAACACTGCCAAAAAGAAAGAAAGGGGCTGGGGTTGTGGCTCAGTGGCAGAGCGCTTGCCTAGCATGCGTGAGGCCCTGAGTTCGATCCCTAGCACCCCATAAAAATAAAAACAAAATAAAGGTATTGTGTCCATCTACAACTAAAAAGAAAAAACTTAAAAAAAAAAGAAGAAGAAGAAGAAGAAAAAGCCACCTAACATCCATTGTCACAGAAAACAGATGTGGTCCTTGGGTCAGTTCAGTTTGTGTCTTGGCAGACTTTGTGCATTTATTGATAGCTATACGAACGCATACATTAAAGCACTTTCTGACTTATGTAATTATATGGCCTCCTATTCTATGAGCAGTTCTTTTCACTAATGCTGTCATCTTGAGATCAGTTTTTTTTAATTTTTATTTTTTTAGTTGTTGATAGAACTTTTTTTTTTTAAATATGTGGTGCTGAGAATCGAACCCTGTGCCTCACACATGCTAGACAATTGTGCTACTGCTGAGCCACTTGAGATCAGTTTTTAAATGTCTCCATATCCCATGGTTAGGATGTACCATGATTTATTTGAACAGGTAAACCCTTGCAGAGGATGTTGACATTGCTTCGTTATTTTGCTACTTGAAATGGAAGAGCCTTGCATATGCTGCCACATATTCTTTCTCTCTCTCTCTCTCTCTCTCTCTCTCTCTCTCTCTCTCTCTCTCTCTTCTTCTTTCTTTTTTTTTTTTCCATACCCAGGGGTGCTTTACCACAAAGTTATGTCTCCAACCCTTTTTATTTATTTTGAGACCGGGCCTCATTAAGTTACTGAGGCTGACCTCGAATTTGCAATCCTCTTGCTTTAGCCTCCCAAGTTGCTCTGATTATAGGCATGTACCACCATGCCCAGTGCCTCCATATAGTCTTATACACACATGCCTGTATTTTTTAGGATAGATTCTTAAGTGGTAGGATTAGCTGGGTCAGAGGGCATATGTATTTTCTGTCTTTGGATGATAGCACCAAGTTGCCCTTTGACAAGCTGTACCAACTGATAGGTGTCCCAGCAGCGGTCGGGTTCCCTTTAAACCTGCAGATCTCCAAGGCCTCAGGCACACCTGTGTCATTGGTCTACTAGAGTCTGGGCTCTGTGAGTCCAAGCTACAGACAGCTCTGTTGGGTCAGTGCTTCCAGGGGCTGCTGATCTTGTCTTTGTTGCTGCTGCTACCAGATCACTAAAGGGAAGTGCCAGGTATGGGGCTCTTGCTCACCAGGCAGACACTCAGATGATAGGTAGAAGAGTCCCCATCAGGATGGTTATACTACCCCCCCCTCAGGCCTCTTGGAGCCACAAAATGCAAATATGGAACATCTACAACTTTATTAAGAATCCAGTGTTACCACTGGGCGTGGTGGCACATGCCTGAAGTCCCAGCAGCTCAGGAGACTGAGGCTGGAGGATCACAGGTTCAAAGCCAGGCTCAGCAACTTAATGAGGTCCTAAGCTACTCAGTGAGACCCTAAATAAAATATAAAAAAAGGGCTGGGGATGTGGCTCAGGGGGCTCACTGCTCCCCTCCCCGAAAAAAAAAAAGTTTAGTGTCACCTCACAGAAGCCTTCCGTGAAGTCCTCCTGCCCTGTTGTCTTTCTCAGCCCCTAGTTGTTTCCTTCATAGAACTTAACAAGTCCATCTGTAACTTGTTCTGCTCTCTTTTGCCCCCACTAGCCTGGGAGCTTCAAGCATCAAGGATCTGGCTGTCCTCCCGTTGCAGGGTGCCCCTCCCTGTCATACCAATGCTTGGCAGGGAGCATTTGCTAGCAAGTGTTTGTTGAATGAATAAATGAACCAACAGCTAAGAAAAATATCATGTCATTCTTGACCAGATGTGCAGGGTAACTGCTAGAAGAATCCAGCAGGTGTAGAATAAGCTTTCATGTTGAGTGGTCAGGGAAAGCCAAAGGGACAAGGGATAAGAAGAGCTGGGCCTTTCAGACTTGTAGAGCAAGAATGGAAGGGGACATGAGGGCCAAATCACACTCCTGGCAAGAATCAGGAGTTCTGTCTCCACTGATTTTTGGCCTCTGTGAACCCAGTCTGTGTGTGTACTACATAGCCAATCCCAGTTCTGCTTCCTTGTGACCCAGTCAGTGGTTCCATTCCGTTGTATGGCATTTGGGGACATCTGTTTGTCCCACAGCCTGCTCTTATGAACTCTTCAGGCTGGGAAGTCGTCCTATATTCCTCTGGCCTCATTTTCCCCTTCCTGGGAAAGTCAGGTCAGAGCTGTCCTGAGAACCAGATAACCACAGATTTTAAGCAGTACCTGAACCATCATTGCCAAAAACCAGGAGATTTGTTTGTTTGTTTGTTTTGGTACTGGGAATTGAACCCAGGGGCGCTTTACCACCATGCTACCTCTCCAGCCCCTTTAAAAATTTTTTTGAGACAGGGTGTAACTAAGTTGCTGAGGCTGGCCTTTAACTTGTGGTCCTCCTGCCTCATCCTCCTGAGTTGCTGGGATTACCCGAGTAGTGTGCACCATACCCAGCTCCTAGGAGCTTTATTTATGTAGAATGTAGCAAATACTTTGGCCTAAAGTCCTGTTTTGAGTTGGTCAATGCTATACATATCCTGTTAGAGAATAAATTGTGTGTTTATTATTAGCTACACCAGCAGGCATACTAGTGACTGAGGCCTCGTCCTCTCCCCTGGGGGTCATTAATGTTTTTTAGATGTGGCACATATCATTTGCTAATTACTGTTGTACCTCAGAGTCAGTAACAGGAAATGACAACAGTAAACCATCCATGGGTGTCTGTGTGTGTGTGTGTGTTGTGTGTGCGTGTGTGTGTGTAAGTGTACAAGTGTGCATGAGTGTGAGAGTGAAGCCAGGATTGAGATTGAGTGATTGCTTG